AGAAATTATTATTAGATGAAAATATTTTATTATACATTGTACTAAAGTTTGTTGAATATTGCAACAAAAAAGTAAAAAATGCAGTAAAAAATAGGTACGTGAGTAAAAATTTCAAATTGTTTAAATATTCTACTATTATATATCATTAGAAAGAGGACCAATACAGTATTTTAAAGGTGAAAAAATTATCAAAAACGAACAATTGGTTCAAAAGTTATGACAGTTTAAGTACCGATTTTTTGATATATGGATTGTTGAAGAAACTGTGGTCAAAATTATGTTTTTCTTCACTTAAATTGTCATAACTTTAGTAATTCTAATCGAAATACAAATATCTTGGTGTCAAAAGATAGGTATAAGAATGGGCTACAAACTTTTGTTAAACTCTAACCACCGGGTGTATTGGATGGACAGAGGGGGCACCAAACCATCACCTTACCCGTATGAAACTAAACATTTTTTCACAAAAAAAGTCTTTTTTCAACACATAAGTATTTTTAATATACAAAAACATTGTTATAAATTTATATTTAACCACCAGAGTATATAATAGGCGTATGTTAACGTTGGAGGTGGGTGTGGTGGTGATGGTTTGATACACCCTAGTATCATATAAGACTTGTTTTCATAAATATTTTTATCTTTACTAAAATTCAATTAGTATACAATATAAAATTATGTTCTACAAGAATTTACGTGGTGTTACTATTACGAATTTAAGTCGTGTTTACATCGATGTATGGGAGGGAAGAATAACCCCCCTCCCCAACCTAAAAAAAAAAATTAAAAAAAATTAAAATGACACAACTACTATTTCCTAAAGTCCCAAAACAAAGTTTTTTTCTGTATAAAAAAGGTTCTATAAATTAATACTGGACAACCACCAAACATTGAAGGTAAGTGTAAAACTCATGTTAAATGTGTTGACCATGTTTTAACCACCCTAATATCGCAAAAAAATTTTAATAATGAAATATTTTATTGGTTATTTAAAGAACAACAACAATGAAGTAAAAAATATATCTTACCCGGTAAAAGTTACATCAGTGTTGCATCCATTCTCAAAAGAGAGGGGCTATCCCCCCCTTTCCCCAAATTAATCATTTTTTTTTTTTAAGCATTTTTGATTACTTGGAGAATTTTTGGTTAAAATATTCTTATACAGAGTGACTTCTATTATCAGTCAATAGTGGTAAAAAGGTAATCAAAACAAAGTATTTACCAACCTTTATAAATCTTCAAATCTTTCATATAGTGCTTGATACTAGTTTGGTTAACAAAAAGTTAGGCTGTTTCAAACTAAAAACCAAAAAAAATGTTATTAACACTAAATAATGTTTGATTATTTTAATGATGCTTTATTTCATAAAGTTTTTTCTTGGCTTTTAGTGAATGATTACAATGATAAATTATACTAATGAAATTATTTTATAACCATTTTTAACAATAGACACCACGTGAAGGTAAGCCAGAGTCGCCTATTAAAAATACATAGCAAGTTACAACACTTGCAGTACTTTTGTTTAGCAAGTCACAACACTAGCAGTACTTTTTTTTTAAGTCACAGCAGTTTTTTAATCTATATTTCAAATTTATATATTTGCAGTGTTTTAACAAAATAATATGTTGTCAACTCTCTGGAAACAATATCTGCAACAAACTGAAACTTTTTCATGCAATGTTCTACAGCTTTGATATCCATTTTATTAAGCAACCTTTAATAATTTTTAAATCTTTCATCATCTTTCCAGTAAGAAATAGTGCAAACTAAGTCATTTTTTCAACTAAATACTTTATCTACTCTGCTATTATACAAAACAGGCTTGGATGTTTAGGATCATATCATTTATGATATTGTTTTTTGCCTACAATTCTTTTATACATGACATCTTCTAAATTATAAAGTTGGTCATTAGAGAAATTTTTGTATGAATCTATAATTTCATCATAACTCAGTTTGGATAGCTAACGCTCTAACTTTTTTTGCTCTAGCTTTTTTCTTTTTCATCGATTTTTTTGAGCTTGGATGCCTGTCTTTGATAAATACTGGCTCTAATTTTAGTCGATGCAATCGATTGCTAACTCTATTTTTACGCGCTACATGAACTGAGCATTTAACAAACTTATCTCTCAAATTAATAATATAGAAACCTTACCAGCTGCAACAGATGACAAGGATATTAAAGATTAAATAATACAATGACACAAAAGATTAAATGGTACATGTAAATATTACATATTAAATATACATATATAGTACATATTAAATATACAATAACATAGTACATATTAAATAGTACAATACTGCATAATACACAAAATCAGACTATATTTCTCAATACATACACATAAAAATACACATTAATCTCTTACTAAATAATAAAGTAAGTGTTACTAAAAAATTAAAAAGAAATAAGTAATAACAATAGTAATATAATGTTTACTAAAATAAACTTTACTTCAAGTTACAATTTAGTTATTACAACGTCTTTAGCTAGTGTGTATCAATAAATTAAACACCTTGAGCTTGTGTATCAATTAAGTAATAATCTTTAGTTAGCATGTATCATTAAACTATACCATTGAAATTATTAAAATTTACTAAAATTACAAATCTGCTGTCTAAATTCACCTAAAAGCCAACTTTAAACTACTTACCTTATTATAAGATTAAGTTATAATACTAACATTACAAAAAAAAAAGTTTAAATGACTAAATAACTAAAATATTTTAAACTTTATTTACTAATAGTTTGTTCTAAATTGTCTATAGAAAAAAAATAACAATGATTCAATAAAAAGCATGAAACAATCAGGAATATATTAATAAACAACTGTAAAAAAACTTCGTGGATGCACAAAAACCTGCACAAAAAGCATAGCATAATAAAGATATATAATTGAATATTGAGAGTAAAAGACTAAATCTTTTTTAGAAAAAGATGCATGATACAACAAGTAGTAGCATATTGCAATAGTTATTGGAGAGACTTACAATGTAAGATAAAATATGTTATAATATTACTAATAAGTCAGTTACATTTTTAAAAATTCAACTTTAAAGTAAGGAAACATTAAAAATCATTTAATAATAACTTTACATTGAAGGCAAATAATTTTTTTAAAATCTTAATAAATAGGAAACAATATTAAAAACTTTTATCAATATTTTTACTTTCCATTTTATTTAATCTTAAAAACTGAAAATTTTATTTAATCAAAATCAAATATAAACAATGTTTATTCAACCCCTCTGTCTCCCGCAAACACTTCAGCAAAATAAAAATCAGGTACCAAAAGTGCGACAAAAAATAGACACCCTGCTACAACTTTTTTTTCAATGAAATTTTCCAGGTGCATAGATAAATGAAAAACTTAAAAAAAGAATAGTATAGAAGAAAAAAATGAGCATATCTTCGACATTAATTTAATGCCCAAAGTACAACAAAGTTTTAGACATTAAAAAACTCAATAAAAAAGCCTTCTAGTAAAATAATAAACCTCACAATAATAAAGTTTAACTATTGTAGTTTCTAAAAATAATCTATATTGATATCAAATTCTAAAAAGTTTTTCAACTAAACACGTCTTCCCTACGCTAGCTAAAAAAAAATCTAAAAAAAAAAAATCTAAAAAGCGTGGCACAGTTTTTTAGCACAATATTCGGTTCCGTAAAACGGATATTTCCACGTACCTATAAAAAAGAATACTCTTATTTGCATTTCCCTATTTTTTAAGTATAAATATGCAAATATATGCATTTAAACAGTTTATATATGCAAATATATGCACTTGTACATTTAAAAAAGGCATATTTGAATTATAACAAGCAGGTCTTTAATAACTTATTTTTTTATATTATTTGCAAAGAATTTAACTGTGAATATTTGCATATTTCAGGTAACAAAAGCATATATATATTATATACATACACATATATATATATATATATATATATATATATATATATATATATATATATATATATATATATATATATATATATATATATATATATATATATATATATATATATATTAGTAAATACTCATAACAGTAAAAACAAATTTTTATATTGAATAAAAGTTGAAGCAATCAGCAGAAAAGTTTCATAAATATAGTACATATTTATCTGAAATTAAAAAAAAAATTATTTAAATCCTACAGTCAGATTTTAAGAAAATCGATTTCAAATAAATAAACAAATCTATGAGTTACACTAAAAAGTTGTTAATTGAAAATAAAGTTTAAGTACTCTAAGATATTTTTTTATCCTTTTTTTATATATATTTTTGTGAGAATTTTGTAATAATATACTGATCTACATAAAAATAAGGCTACAACATTGAGTTTTTAGAGACCAAATAACAAATAACACGGTTGCCATATAAAATATACTCTGTAGTTAAGAACCGTAGCCATTTAAAGAGTTCAAAAATTTTTCGCATTTTCTCACGCATGCGTACCTAAACATAGCGCTTGTAGTAATAAGTAACACGATAAGTTTTTAACATTTTTTTGTTGTAAAATTTTTTTTTAGTTGTTATTTAATATCCACTTTGACGTCATGTTGTTTTGACGTCAAACGAATCGCATTGGCAGTCTTAATGAATGAGGTGACAACATTGCGAAAAATAAGAGAAAATCCTAAAAAAAAATTTTATAATTAAGAATGTTATAAAAAAATCATTATAAAGACGTGCCAAAAAATGTATTTTGATCCAGTGAAGAAATATGTACTAATATTTGCGTGATGCAATATAAAACTATAGATTCCTTTTTTTTTGGAATTGAAAATTGATTTGCAATAAGCTTTTGTTCAGTTAGGTTATGCGAGAAAATGGTAAAGTTAGGTGTACAAGAGCTAGAAAGGTTGTGTCACGTTAAAGTGGTAATAAAAGAGTTATGAAAGATTGTATAACATGAAGAAGTGGTTATTGAAGCATAAAGAAAGATGTATCACGTAAAAAAGTGGAAATAAAAAAGTTATGAAAGATTGTATAACATGAAGAAGTGGTTATTAAAGCATAAAGTGGTTATAAAAAAGTTAAGAGATCACGCGAAGAAGTGGATATAAGAGAACCAAGAAGTTGTTAAGAACTGATAATAAAAACGCTAAAAACCTATTGTGTTTAACTTGTTCAAACAACAACATAATGTAAAGTAATGTAAAGATTTATCTTAATCACTTCTATACTTTTTTTGTCTTTTTAATTTGAATTCTATACAACTTTTTTTGCGTAAATTAACCGCCTAACTGTTTATCATAAAGTATAGTTAACTTTTATACGGAATTTATGTCGTTTATTTTTTATTTTTGCTAAATTTCGACGTTCTTATAAACGTAGATACATTATAAACATACAACAATATCACAAATTATCCATTCAGTAATGCTTAAAACATTTTACTAAAAGAGTTACTTACTAATTCACAAAAAGGGGTCGTCCATAAAGTACGTACGCCAAAAATTTTGAAATTTGACCCTCCTCCCTCCCCCTGTTGCCATGCGTACTTCTAAGTCCTCCCCCTCCCGGAAAATAAATAAATTTTTCCAAAAAAAAAAAAAGACGAGGTACCTTAGAAACTTTATACGACCCAAAATCTTGTTTGCGGCACAGGATCCCAATTTAAAAAACGTCTCTAAATATATATCCAAATGTTAATTTTAATAAAGTTAAATTACTCATGTCTAATGTGTTTGCTTGGCCGAGCGGTTAATGCTTTGGACTGCGGCGACGGAGACAGGCGTTCGATTTCCGGTCGTCGAGTTATATTATACTTTTTTTTTTGTTTTAATGACGAATTAAATAAAAATAAACTATACTTAAGGCGGACGTTTTTTTCAGACACCCCTCTTTAGTAGGTCCGTAAAAAACGAGCCCTGCGCGAGATCAAAAATATCGAAAACAAAGTCTAAAACCCAGTACCGAGGATAGGCTACCCGTACCCCTTAATTTGAGGTGGGGGGAGGGGGAAGAAGGGGGCAAAAAATTTTGTGCTTTTTTGCTAATTTAAGGAGCTTTTTATTTTAGCAAAACCTAGCGGTAAAATTTGGGAGATTTTGAGGTCCAAATGACAGGTTTTTATTAGGGAGGGGGGCCTCCAACCTATTAGCCACGGCACTGCTAAAACTGTCTTTTGTCGACTCAAAAAATAGGTTGCCTGAAATACGCCTTACTCAAGGCTAGTATTTAAAAGTGGCATGTGTGCATTGGCGTCCGCAGCATTTTTTGATGTTCTAGATAGGATATTTTTACTCATTTGGCATAGGTATACTTAAATTTGGAGCTTGCACATGCTCCAAACTTAAGTATGCCTATGCCAAATAAGTTAAATTTATGCAAGCTCTAAAACTTAAGTATACCTATGCCAAATGAGGAGGCCTTGCAAAAAATCTTTCTAAACTTAAAAAATCGTAAGTTTTCAAGCTAAAATGACTGTCTAGGTGTCTAATACAGGGTATTTGGGATCGAGGATTTGATTGAAGATGTTTTTGAGTCAATCGGAATAACCTGTCAAAAGTTGCGGCAACCGCGTATGCCGCATTTTTTACTTAAAACCTCGGTTTTTGAGGTTCAAATTTGAAACCTAAAAACTAAAATTTTTCATTAACTTTTATTTTTGCTATTAGTTTTACATAAGGGCCAACACATTTAAAATTCATATGGTCAAGCATTTATTGTAAAAAGTTTAAAAATGACCCGCCTTTGTGACCAGCGTTTGCAGCTTAAAAGTTTTTTGTTTGAAAAACAAAAACAAACAATAAACTTTTAAGCTGAAGACGCTGGTCGCAACAATTCAGGGAAAATATTTTTTTTAAAGTAAATTTAGTATCGAGAGAAATTCGTATTTATTGATGTTTATAAAGTAATAATATAAAGTTTTATTTATGATAATTTCTTATCAAATAAAATAAAGTTTTTAAACAAAAACAAAATAATTAGTTTTATATGAAACTTTTCATTTTTTCGATCAATAGTCAACGATCAATGTGCCAATGTGCCCTAATAAGCTTATTAAGATATTGATGAAAATATTTCCTATATTATAAAAACTGTAAATAACTGAAAAAAAAGTTTATCAGCACTCAACACTTATAAATTCACTTCAAGATTTTTGTAAACACATTCAGAAATCTATCACCATGATCGGTTGAAGTTTGGACGATTTTAAATCGAGTTTTCTCAAAAACCACATAATCAATTGTAATGATTTTTTTTTATAATGATGCTTACATAATTGTTTTTTTATTTCAACAAAAATAAATTAACCGGTAACTTTACAACTTGCAAGTAATTTAATTTTTTGTAAAGTACCCGCCATCATCTCCACAAATTTACTTGGCGTCTTTTTTTTTGTAAGATTAATCCATAAATCCTGAAAATTTATAGCAATATTCTCTTCGCAATTACTCAGTAAAGACAGTTTGGTAGATAAGCATCCTTTGGAACAAAATTGACTCTTATTTTTCTTATGCTACTGCATTAATTTTTTGGAATAGTGGATCGATGCCATATCTGGCCAAAATAAGGTTGGTTGTTAGTGCTTTTTAATTAGAGGAAGAAGTCGTTTTTTCAAGCACTCAGCCAAATATAGATCTGATGTCAAAGATTGATTTGTTATGAAAAGAGAGTTTTTAAAACCACAACTGCAAATAGGCTGCCATACAAGGAACTTGGGATCGAATTTTTCAATTCAAATGTACTTAAATTTGTCAGAAGCTTTATAACGTTCGACTGATAATACAACTACAAACAATTAAAAGCTAAACAATCATACTGTCCCAAATTTAAATCCATTCCTATCGTCCCTAAAAATTTTCTGTTTTTTCTTGGGTTTGTTATTACATTTGTTCTTTAATTACAGCTTTTGTTTATGGCTAGTTACTAACGTTTTTTTTTGTTTTTTTTCACTTACGTTATGATATGTTGTTATTACTTTGTTTATTTATGTTGCTTTTATTTTTTATTTTTTCCTAAACTCATATATTATTTTTGCTACATATTATTTTTACTACATATTAATTTTACTACATATTATTTTTACTACATATTATTTTTACTACATATTATTTTTACTACATATTATTTTTACTACATATTATTTTATTAAAACTTTTGCAGTTTTAAAGTTAATAAAAATTTTAAATAACTGAAAATCTTTTGTTGGCTACAACACGCAAATTTCTTACAATGTATTAAAACAGTACTTAAAACAACTCAGCAAACTGTTTTAGTGAATTTTCAGAGAACCTGTATAGCCATTTTTCAGCGGCTCATTGGACTTTTACTCATTGGTTATTTAGTAGATGATTAGTGGCAGCCGCTATAAATAATAAGTCGATAACTTTCTAACATGTTAATAATCGGCTAACTACATTTGGCGGCTGATGGTCCACTATGTAATCGATGAGCACAACTACAGTGGTCCGCTCAAAATATCTATATAGGTCTACTGAAATTCCGCTGAGAAAGATTTAAATAAAACCAACAAGTATCAAGTAAACACACATTTAAATTTAAATTTCTTTTAGAACACACCCCTAATCAATCCTCTAGATATGCACATAACAATCAGATAATCATTACCATTAAACTTATTTCCAAACTTACTTTGTATGGTCTGTTTCTTTATATAACCATGCAGCCTAATGTAAACTACATTAATGTCCTTAACAATTTTTATTTTTTCTTACTCATCATAGCAAAGTTCTTCATTTTTATTTGACATTTATCTTTTTTTTTTTACTGATTTAAAAATATTTAATATACCGCGCACGCACACACATAAAACATTGTTAAAATTTGGTGTTTTGAATATTTTTTAATACTTGTTATAGCTGTTTGAGTTTACTTAGTCGAATTACTATATATTTTTTTTAGAAACCAGAGTGATCGTAAAAAAAATCAAAACGAAGATACCAACAAAAAAAAAACAATGACTTCAAATTGTTTTATTTGCGGAGAAAGTTTTCTTCGTGCCGAATTATCTGCACATGAAAAAACTTGTTTACAGAGCATACAAACAACTCAAGTGCAATACACCCGCCAAAATACTGACGATACTTCAGATAGCTTAACGTTTCTAACAAACAACGATTCTTCTAGTTTTTCTAACCATTCATCAGGATCCTCAAGTAATGAAGGAAACGATAAAAAAACTCACCGATGTTATATCTGTGGAACAGATATTCCTATTTATTTAAAATCAATTCACGAAAAAAACTGCAAAAAGAGTTGGGAGAGCGGATTATTAAACTCTATAGCTACGCCAGGAAGACTTTCTAACTCTAAAAAAGATCTTCTAAAAGATTCTTCTGAATTAAAAAAATCAAAAGCAATAGCAAATATTATATCAAGTAGCAATCTCAAAAAATCGCGATCAACCTCGTACATTCCTAAAGATTTAAAATCTGATATTTCTAGAGCTGAATCTGCATCTGATCTTTTAAAATCAAGAGTCGGAAGCTTATCTTTAAATAAACAAAAATCGCATTCTTCGGCTAATTTATTTAAAAGCAACTCAGAGCAAAAAGATTTTTTAACTAACTATCTGTCGATTGGAAACCGAAAACTTAGCTATGAAGACACGGAAAAAAAGCCCCCTCAATACGTCGAATGTTTTATTTGCGGAAAACAATATAGTACTCATTCTATAGACATTCATCAGAAACAATGTATCCAAACGCGCACTTTTCAATTAGATGCCGGAGTTGTTCCCGCTTATAGAAAAAAAAGTAAATCTTTGGCAGATATAAGACTTAAGGCGAATGTAAAATCAATTTCTCCATCAAAGCAAATAAAAAAGATAGATAATGATGAACGCCGTTTTTCTGCTATTGAAACCAGCAAACAAACAGTATCCAATCATAATTTAGTGAACTCCACCTTAAAATCTTCTAGTACCAGTAACCTTAACAAAATAGCACCAATGAATAAAACAAGTGTGGATATAGAAGTACCAGCAAATCCACCGCAAATTAATCCAGGTTTTCAAGAGTGTCGCATCTGTACACAACTATACGGAAGCAGGTCGTTACCTATTCACGAAAAACAGTGTTTAAAAAAATTTGAGTTAGCAAGGCAAGAAGATGAGAAACTTAAAAAGAGAACAAAAGCTAATAAAAATTTTAATATTATTCCATTCGGTCATTCACAAGATGTAAACGATTCAGACCTACATTTACCAAAAGGTCATGACAGATCATCACCCAATACTTCAGAATCAAATTCTGAGTTTTTTCTAAAAAATACAAACAGTTTGAAAGCTAACGAAGACGAAATAAAACCTGAACTAGTCAGCAAAGATTTGAAAAGAATTAGTCTTAAGCTATGTGTTTACTGTAACCTTAAGTTTGGCCAAAGCTCTATTTTAATACACGAGAAATCTTGTCGTGAAAAATGTAAGGAAATTGCCGACGAGTTGTTTCGTAAAAACGATAGCGTTGTCAAAAACCCGGTAAAAAATGATGGTGTCATCACAAATGGAAGGCTTGAAAGTATATTAACTTCAAAAAATGAAAGTAATCTAAACAACTGATAATGGAAAATTAATGGAATATTGTAAGATACTAAAAGGAATTATTAAAATAAAACAGACATTTTAATTGTTATTTAAAAAGATTGGCGGGAAAGTTATTGACAGAACTTTACACCTAATTGCCATAAATGAATTAGATATCGAAAATGTGAAAATTTTTTACAGTTTTTTTTACCAGAATATTTATTTAGAAATAAAAACTAAATAGGGAAAAACGGCAGATCCTATTTTTTCTCTAATACTTTTCTTTACCTTTTTTTTCATAAACTTTCTATTAAATGATATTATCTATAATTTTTTACATAGTTAATATTACGTTAAATACCTCAGAGTTAACTCTGAGGTATTATCTACCTCATATTATATACCTCAGAGTTAACTCTGAGGTATATATATCCGAATATCAAATAGTCAAAAAATAACGCAACTATATTCGAATATTAAGCAATCGAATACTCAAACTGGTTCGTCTACTTATTGTTTTAACTGAGGTGTAACTAATTACACCTCAGTTAAAACAATAAGTAGACGAACCAGTTTGAGTATTCGATTGCTTAATATTCGAATATAGTTGCGTTATTTTTTGACTATTTGATATTCGACGTTAACTTCGAAATACTCGAATAATTTTTAAAATGAAAATGAACATGGTAAGCCTTGCAGCAAAAATTTAATGTAAATAACAAAACTAAAAAGAAAAAATTATTATTAAAAAAATTATTAAAAAACTAGAATAAAAAGAAAATTATACACATTTTTATATAACGCTGATATCAACGCATAAAAATATTTTTTTGTATTTCCGCATCATAATGCAAAGAAACAAATACCTGATTACTCAAGTTTTTTATTAAGCTCGTAATTTTAATATACTTAAATTTTTGATAATCATAAATGTATAATGTTACATAGATGAAGAAAAAATTTCGTCAACTCTTTCAAATAACAGTCGACAACCCTGGACTTTTTGTATCACCACTTAAAAGCTTCTGAATTAGTACTCTCAACACCAGGTTCAATTTAAACAAAAAGAATAACGAGTTTGAATTTTTCAACTTTTAATTCACTTTTATTTTGAAAATATACAATTTTAGAAATTAAGTTATTTAAAAGAATGATAAAATCATTCAAAATTATTCATTAAACGCTTTTTTTTAATTAAATTATTGTTATTCATCATTTTTGTTAATGCGTTATATTATTTTTATAATATAAGGCATTATAAATTTATGTTGATGTCAAATAAGGAATATTTGAAATAAATTGAGATGACCGGAGCCTAGAAACAAATAAAGCCCTAAACCTTTTTTCCCCTGCTTTTAACGTAAGAGTAATAAGCTTTTAAAACTTTTTTTTTGCTATTTATAACTAAATAACTATACAAAAACAAATTTTAAATTTCATACAACAATCTTATAGTGTTCGAAAACTATGACAATATAAAGTTTGAATCCCCTCAATTTGAAGGGGCTGTAGGGCCCCTCAAATTGAGCAATCTGTAACTTTGCAGAGTTATCAAAATGGAAGACTTAAAGATTATTGCTTGAAACTTGAAGTTTGTCGATGAATATAAATTTAGTTAAAATTAGTTTAAAAAAATGTTTGATAAACACGTTGCTCTTACGTTAAAGGATGGGGGTAAAGGGTTTAGGGCTTTATTTATTTCCAGACTCCGGTCATCTTAAAATTTTGCAAATGTTCGTTTTTGATATAAACATAAACTTATAAATGTTTGAAGTGTGCTCCGTGTCTGAAAGTCTCAAAAAACAAAAAAAGCTTGCTACGACGGGCCTGTTAAAAAAAATCTTATTTCTAAAAAATCTTATAATTTATGCTTTATCGATTATATGTGTTAAAAATTCTCATACGCAAATAAATCTTTGATAAAGATCTTAAATGAAGTTTCAATGTTTAAAAAATCTGTTTATATCAATTTTATTTATATTGATTTTCTATGACTAATGAAGATAAAAATATCTATCAAAACAAAATATTTTAGTTAGCAATTTAAAAAAGCATACGTGAAGTTTTCTATTTTGCAATCTTATAAACTTCCAGTAGGGATCGTCCATTAATTACGCAACGCTAAATTTTACTAACAAACAAAACTAAAAGATTAAGAGTTTCCTCTTTAACTAGAGTCTTTAGTTAAACCATAGATGTATAAATCAGACGAAAGTTCATCAAGCCGCAAACATCTAAGCAATTTCAAGTCGTCTCGGGAGTATGCTTGTAACCGACAATTAAAAAAAAAACAAGTTTGACAGGCCGAAAAACAACAAAATTCTCTGAAATGATTTTTATTAAATTATCAAAAAATGAATTATTCTAGGGATATGCTGCAAAGTTTTAACCATTAGTAATTGCAATTATTCAGCAAAAGGTTTATTAAAACTCGGTAATTAAATAGAACGACTTGATTTTAAAAGCATATGTTAGTTTAAGCTTTTTTCTTGCTTCAAGTCATAACACGACATTTGATTAAAAAGACAACTAAAACAATTTTTAAAAAATCAAAAAAATTGTTTTCTAAATAACTGAAGTTTTAAGTTTCATTAGCTGTATGTCATAACTATATTAATTCTTGCAGTACTCCATTCATTTAATATAAAGTTTATAAAAAGTTGTTTGCCGTTTTGTTGCGTCATTTTCAATGTTTTTCTCGAACCTTCAAAATACTATATTTTTAAATTATTATAAACGACCTATTTGCGTCAAAGTATAAAGATTAAGCGTTAAAGTACAGTCTTGATGTCGTTTTTTTTTTTTCTTTACGAAACAAAAGGTTTGAAGCATAGTTGCGAAGAATTACAATGCGGTTGAACTTCAATCTTCCTTGGTTAAACCAAAAATCTAAGGGTGGAATGCAAGAAGCAAACTTGAGTCAAGTTTGACTTGAACTTTACTTTGTAACCAATAGCGGCAGAGTATTTTTTGAGAGGAAAACCCATACTCTGTCGCTATTGGTTGCAATGTAAAGTTCAAGTCGAGCTTGACTCAAGTTCGCTTCTTACATTCCACCCTAAATTGCAATTCAAGTCCGATAAAAATTGCTGCGCAAAAGAGTAGCAATCTCCTACTTCTATTTTTTAAATATATTACTATTACCGTTTAAAAGTATTACTATTACCAACTATATTTTTCAATTTTTACTTTAGTAAAATATTTAGAATAATCACTTGAAATGTGTTGATTAATTACAATTCCTATAAAAAGTTTAAAAAACATGTGAAAATAGAACTAAAAATACGTGGAATAATGCACTTACCATGACCCGGTTAACACGGGTCACGTCTATTCTACACCGACCATTTCTATACTTATTCTTTATATAGTCTCGTTGTAATTCAATATTTTTTCGTTGTTGTTAGAAAATAAAAATCTTTAAAATCTTTGTTTTAAGTTAACGATTAATGTTCAAAAACTTCGTTGTGTATAGTTGTCAATTTTTATATTAAAAAAATGGGGACAGGCCTATAATTTTTTTTTTCTTCATTTAGTTTCTATTAAATTTTTTACTGAGGTTGTTAGAGAAGTTCGTAGAACTTTATTTATAAAGTTACAATAAGACAGGAAATAATTAAATATTTATATATCATCTTAAACTGTTTAATTATAAACATTTTAAGTACTTGTTGAAATATTTTGATTTATTTAAATTTTATTATATACGTTTGAAAAAAAAAAATTAAAAATGGAAAAACTTGAATATCGAGCATATATTAAAACCCGTGCTCTACTTGGAGTTTCAGCACAAGCCATAACCGATGAATTGGTTTTAGTTTATGGTGACCAAGCTCCAAAATATAGTACAGTTTCTAAGTAGGCTACGTTATTTAAAGATGTTAGAGAGAGTCTTGAAGATGATCCTCGCTCAAGGCACCCTCAAACTACGTATACAGGTGAGAATATTGAAAGATAACGCTCAACCCCATGTAACTCAAACCGTCACAAACTGTCTAAACCAAGCTGGAATTACAATAATTCACCACCCACGATACTCACCAGACTTAACTCCTTCCGATTATTGGCTATTCGACTTTTTTTTATTTTTTTTTATTAAATATATGTTTGCTGTTTATATAACAAAAAAAGTGAATTTATAATAAATAGGCAGGGGCTCAAAGAAGATACGGATGACTAAAGTCACCACAATCTTTTCATAGAGCCCCTAGGTGGGCTTTACAAGTTAAAAAAAATAGTATCTCCAATATAATAAAAAGGTTAAAGCTTGCATAAATATTTCCATTAAATTAAGAAAGTAAATAACATCATATAGTTTTATTAATATTCATTAAAATATATTGGAAACTCTGTTAAATATCAAAACAAGAGCCAATTAACAAGTAAAAAAACTAAGAATAATGGAACTCGTTTTTCATTTCGAAAAATCAAGAAAACTATTTATCTAATTTAAAAATTTCATTTTTTATTATAAACTTAAAGGAATTTAATGATTTTACAGTATTTAAATTTTTTGTTTTTTGAAAAGTGTTCGATAGTTTTGGTCCGCGGTATGATATTCCATATTCAGAATACTTACTATTAATTCTTAGTAATTTATAAGTATTCCATTGGTTTATTCTAAGAGAATATTTTTTGATTACATTTTTTGTAAATTTATCATTAAAGTTTTTTGGAATAAAGCTGTTGTTACATTTATACATAAAAATTAGGTGTTGCTTTCATATATATTCATCATTTTCATGTCTTCCATTAATGGTTTTGCATGTTCATATTTTATTTTTATATATTTAAGTCTGCATGCATGTTTTTGTAAAGTAAATATTTTTTTAAGTTTTGTTGGTTCAGTACTAGCCCATGTGATATTGGCATAGTATATGAAACAATGTATTAGGCCAAAATATACTAATTTCAGACTTTCTGGTGTTACATATGAACAAATATGGTACATCAGACCAATTGTTTTATTAATTTTTGATTGAATATAATTAATATGGGGAAGGCATGATAAATTTTCATCAATAAGAATTCCCAAGAATTTTATTGAATCATTTTTACTAGTTAGTGTATCATTTAAAATCAAATCAGGTAATTTTAAAGGAAGTTTTTCATCTTGTGATTTTTTATGAAATAAAGTATATTTTGTTTTATTTACATTGAGTGAAAGTTTATTTGCCTTAAACCATTCATCTATATTCATTAGTTCAGAGTTCATGTCAGAATACAGTTAATTAATGTCACAGTTTGAAAGGAAGAGATTTGTGTCGTCAGCAAACATTATTGAGTTAAGCTTAGCTGAATACATTATTAAAATCATTTACATAAATCAAGAAAAGCAATGCACCAATTATTGACCCTTGTGGAACTCCACACAAAATATTAAGTTGACTTGACAATAGATATCAGTTTTATTGATATATATTCTTTGAGGTAGTTTAGCCGTATTTATTTTCTTTCTTTCCATTATATCGTTAATTAAATCCCATGTTTTTTTCACATCGAATTTGTTTTTTGTAATTTCTTTACTATAATATGTTTCTTGAGAAGATTTTCGAAAAAGTCTTTGTATTTTTTGTAACTTTTTTCATTAACTTCAGTTCTGTTTTTTAAAAATTTATTGTAAAGTTTTTGTTTATTTTTTGAACATTTTATAAGAGTTTTATCCATCCAAAGATTCAATATTGTTTTTTTTTTAGTTATTGTGAATTCATACGGGTACGTTTCGTTATAAATGTCAAGAAATGTGTTTAAGAAAATATTAAATGCTTTATTTGTATTATCACAACTTGATTCCACGTCTCTTGCTTTAGTTTATCGGAAAGATTATTCTTATTAACTTCTGAGTGGTTACGTTTTTTTAGAGTTATAACTTTGGGATCCCCGTTGGATGGGGCTTTGAAAGGATTTATTTTAACGTATATTGGGAAGTGATCACTAATATCAGTTTTAAAAATACCTGTCTCAAATGACGTTTCTATATAATTGTTAATAAAGATATTATCGAGTTAGACCTCCAGGTGCCATGCACCAAGCCAGGTGGATGGCGAAAGCAATTTATGCCCTAAAGATGACACTTTTTAATGACCAAAATTTGACGTCATATCTTTTTCAGAGACCTGACAATACACTTGATTCTAATTATATTTACGAATTGCCTAATTATAAATTAATTAGTCAACCGCGAGAAAGTAATAAAAACGGAGGAGGAGTTGGTGTTTATGTTTTAAACAAATATTCATTTAAAATAAAAAATAAACTATGCTTGTCAAATCATAATTATAAAAGTCTATTTATTGAAATAATAAATGTCAAAGATAAAAACATTTTAGTTGGGTGCGCATATCTTCCAAAAAATTAAATTGTTTGAAGAATTCGTAAAAAATACAGTCTCAAAAATAGATAAATAAATAAAAAAATTGTATATTGCCGGCGACATAAATTTGAACTCTTTGACATATAAAAATAATCCAAAAACAAGCTGTTTTTTTGACATGCTTTTTAAATATAATATCTTACCAGCTATAAATAAACCAATTTTAAATGTTCTATTTTTATCTTTCCCTAAAAATATATTTGAGAGCTGAATTATTTTGCGATTGTCATCTCGGACTGTAAATTTCGTTAACTCAGATTCGTAAAATTTCATCAAGATTTCTATTTCTGAAATAGTCAAACACAAATCAATTTTTTCTTTGAAGCTCTGTATTTTACTAGAGTCGACACTTTTCCAGTTATCACGAAACTTTTTAAACAGCGGAATATTAGGGCTTGTTGTTACTTGGCTGATTTTTGCTTCAAATACGGCTTTTAATATTAACTCATATATGTGATGACGGCAAGCAAAAATGAGCAAATCTCTGTATAGTTTCTGTTCAAGCAATACACAGGTGCCATTAATATGACCTGTGTTAGATGCCGTAGTATTACAACAAAGAATTTGAACTTTATCCTCAAGATTCCAGTCTACAAGTGCTTTCTAAACCGCCTCTGCCTGTTCTCTTTGTGATGAGTTTTCTAATCTTGGCACAGCAATAAATTGTTCTTTATTTCCATATGAAACAACTATCGATAGACGTTCTTCCTTTGATTTTCGGGCATCTAAAGCAGGCAACAGTTTTCCATCAAAGTGAACGGTCACAACCTGTGGCATCTCATTTTGAAAATCTATTTTTGTAGCTTCAACACGCTCTTTGCGTTTTTTGATGCGAGTTCTTTGAATTGAAGACTTACTTATTGGAAATTCATCAGTATTGTATCCAAGTGTCTCAATAGTAGCTTCAAGAATATACATAGAATCTCTCATACTTAATTGACACCTGCCTAGCGCTGCTACTAATTTTGGAGTGATTAAGTTTTTCCGCATAGATATTTTACTTGTTTTGAGTTGTACGCTCTCGATCTGAGTTGGCAAATCTTCTTCCAAATGTAAGTCTTTATCCGAAGCAGATGATGAATCTATTTGTAATGTATCATGAAATGACGACGAAGGAATTGACTCTGCAAAATAGTTAGATCTTCGTTTCTCTTCCTCAATAATTCTTAAATGTGCCCTTTCCTCTTTATCGGCCAGTTTTTTGTTTACACCACTTAAGTGACCCAATCGACCTGGCTCCCTTTGCCGTTTCAAAAATAACTTATCTTCTTCTATTTTAATTAAATGAAGCGCATCGGCGTGGGCGATATCAAACAATTTGTCTAAGTTTCTAACAAACTCTTGTTGACGTTGTTTAAATACGTCTTGGGTTTTGTGTGCATTTTTTGCAAATCCCTCCAAACTTGATATAACTTTACAAGTTTCTTTACACAATTAGGAAACGATTTCGTAGGAATACGTGCCTTTTCCCAATAAATAATACACTCCTTAACAGTGAGATTTGCACTATTATTTACATTTAATTTCACTTCACGAATGTTTTAAAATAGCACTGCTAAAACTTGTCCATTAGAAGGAAGCTTTGATCCCGTTATTTGATGTTTCGTGTCACCTATTAAAAATATATCATTTTTAAAACTGCGTAATTGTACAGACATGTTGACAGAGAAAAATCAATGTGGGTACTGAACTCTACAGTAAAAGAAAAGCAAGTTAAAACAAGCACATCGATCGTTCGCGCGCGTCTGCCATTGTTAGCAAGTCTTAACAAGTTCCGATGCAAGTCGGGTTATCGTGACCTTATCTAACCCAAATTTTGTTTACAATTGTTTTAACATCATTCTAACAAATTTAGAGGATATATATATATATATATATATATATATATATATATATATATATATATATATATATATATATATATATATATATATATATATATATATATATATATATATATATATATATATATATATATATATATATATATATATATATATATATATAGGGTAGAGCAAGCTAGTTAAGCAACTTTTACTAAATTAACAGATTTATATAAAAGATTTATTTTACACCCGATTTAAAAACTACTAATTTTAAAAATATATAAAAATAATGTACCGCTAAACTATTTTTTATCAAAGCTGGTTCTTTGTGTTCGAATTATATTTTTAGCTCAAATTTTTTTAGTTTTTTCAAAGTAGCTCAACTTACCCAGTGGCGGACTAAAACTTCTTGGGGTCCGGGGCTATTTTTGTTTTTGGAGGCCTTTTTATGGGCCAGAGTCTGAAAATGACAAAAAAAATCTTTTTAAATTTTTGGAGGCCCCTAAATTTGTGGGGCCCGGGGCTATAGAAAAAAGGGGGTATAGAAAAAGTGCCTGTGTATCTTACTCAACTGCTGTCCAACGATCTTTTTTTACACATTCTGTTAACATTCTAATTCCCTAACTTTCATCCATTACATATTTTGTCATGTGATGCGTAGTTTTAGAGATATTTTAATTGCCCATCTTGCCTCTTTGTTGGTGTCTCTAGTTGGTAAAAAATACACACAACACCCTCCCCCCCCCCTTCTTCATGGAAGATCTTTTCGGAACGGCCCTGCAAGTATATATATATATATATATATATATATATATATATATATATATATATATATATATATATATATATATATATATATATATATATATATATATATATATATATATATATATATATATATATATATATATATATATATACATATATATATATATATATATATATATATATATATATATATATATATATATATATATATATATATATATACATACACACACACAACTCACAAATAAATTGATAACCCATTGATAACAGTTTATTTTTACTGAAATAAAATGCTGTAAAACCAATAGCTATAATGAAATAAATTATGTTGCAACTAAATAAATTTTTACCATTTTCAACCTGGCTTCTATCTTAGATTGTTTGAACAAATGATGAATTTTGAACCATATGCAAAAATTTTACATCAAGTCTAAAATGTCATGAAACCAATGCAGTCATTGTAGGAGTTGGTAAACTTTTTCTGGAAAACGTAAACTAAAATCTATTTTTGTATGTTTTAACGGCTTGTAAAACGTTACTTTTTACATTTATATACATATATATAACTTTTTACATTTATATATATATATATATATATATATATATATATATTATATATATATATATATATGTTAACAAATAATTGTTATACAACATCATATGCTGTTATGCATTGTTTATTTTTTGTTATGTTAATAAATGTTTTGTGTTGCTATGTTATGAAAACTGCTTATGTTATTAAATAAATAAACAAAAATCTATTTTTTATGTATATTAAGATATATTGTTGATGTTAAAATAAATACTTAGCTATTTTTAAATAACTTGTTTTCACTTTAGATACTATTTTATTATTTATGTTGTTCTGGCTTGTTATTTTAGAGTATTTGATATTTTTTTATTTGAGTTGTGCTTTATCATTATTTCTCTATCATTATGCACACTGAGGCATGACGTGCACCCAAAGCCACGTCATACCTCAGAGGTGAAAAAGTGGCAAAAACTCTTAAGTAAGGTTTTCAGTGTGCATAATGATAGAGACGGAAAAATTTCGTCAATTTTAATTTACATTTTAAAATGATGTTAAGACCAAAAAATATGTTTTTTCTAAAACTACTGATGTTTGGGGATCTTTTTATATCTAATAAAAGAAATTAAATGAAATTAAGGAAAAAGTATCTTTATTTGTATAGGTAAAACCAAAAGGAAAATTAAAATTAAGTATTATCCCTATAAAACGTTGAAGTATGGTAAGTATTCAATTACTCAACAGTGGATGAATTTTATTTATGGATGTTCAATTAATTGGATGGATATTCAATAACTCATCAGTGGATGGATTTTATTTATTATGGATGGATTCAATTACTCATCAGTGAATGGAATCAAAGTCTTGTGTGCATAGTGAATGAGTTTGAAAAATTGAAACTTGTATAACTTAAATTTTTTTAAATCTGATTTTAAAGTTAACTATAAAATAAAATAGAACCTTGCACAAAATTCCACCATTTAGTTTAACTCACATTTGAAATTTCAACTGATTAATGAAAAAAGCACTTCATAGTTATACAGGATGCTTGACATACTAATTATTTTCATATAATTGGTTTTAATCATAAACTTAAATTGTCTTTTATTTCCTTTTTTTTTATCAAATGTTATTTTATATATTTTATAGAATAAAAAATAATAATATCAGTATACAAAAACGAATAAAGTTTTTGACTGAAACGAATTAAATGTAAATAGTTAGACTTTCTAGCATCTTTCATATAACCATAAAATGCAGATTTTTTTTATAAAGAATTGTCAAAAATTTAAGCACAACTCAAAAAGAACTTTCAAAATGAACTTTCAAAATGAACTTTCAAAATGAACTTTCAAAAAGAACTTTCAAAAAGAACTTTCAAAAAGAACTTTCAAAAAGAACTTTCAAAAAGAACTTTCAAAAAGAACTTTCAAAAAGCACAACTCAAAAAGAACTTTCAAAAAGAACTTTCAAAAAGCACAACTCAAAAAGAACTTTCAAAATGAACTTTCAAAAAGAACTTTCAAAAAGAACTTTCAAAAAGAACTTTCAAAAAGAACTTTCAAAAAGAACTTTCAAAAAGCACAACTCAAAAAGAACTTTCAAAAAGAACTTTCAAAAAGAACTTTCAAAAAGCACAACTCAAAAAGAACTTTCAAAAAGAACTTTCAAAAAGAACTTTCAAAAAGCACAACTCAAAAAAAACTTTCAAAAAGAACTTTCAAAAAGAACTTTCAAAAAGCACAACTCAAAAAGAACTTTCAAAAAGAACTTTCAAAAAGAACTTTCAAAAAGCACAACTCAAAAAGAACTTTCAAAAAGAACTTTTAAAAAGAACTTTCAAAAAGCACAACTCAAAAAGAACTTTCAAAAAGAACTTTCAAAAAGAACTTTCAAAAAGAACTTTCAAAAAGAACTTTCAAAAAGAACTTTCAAAAAGAACTTTTAAAAAGAACTTTCAAAAAGAACTTTCAAAAAGCACAACTCAAAAAGAACTTTCAAAAAGAACTTTCAAAAAGAACTTTCAAAAAGAACTTTCAAAAAGAACTTTCAAAAAGAACTTTCAAAAAGAACTTTCAAAAAGAACTTTCAAAAAGCACAACTCAAAAAGAACTTTCAAAAAGAACTTTCAAAAAAAACTTTCAAAAAGCACAACTCAAAAAGAACTTTCAAAAAGAACTTTCAAAAAGAACTTTCAAAAAGAACTTTCAAATAGCACAACTCAAAAAGAACTTTCAAAAAGAACTTTCAAAAAGAACTTTCAAAAAGCACAACTCAAAAAGAACTTTCAAAAAGAACTTTCAAAAAGCACAACTCAAAAAGAACTTTCAAAAAGAACTTTCAAAAAGAACTTTCAAAAAGCACAACTCAAAAAGAACTTTCAAAAAGAACTTTCAAAAAGAACTTTCAAAAAGAACTTTCAAAAAGCACAGCTCAAAAAGAACTTTCAAAAAGCACAACTCAAAAAGAACTTTCAAAAAGAACTTTCAAAAAGAACTTTCAAAAAGAACTTTCAAAAAGCACAACTCAAAAGGAACTTTCAAAAAGAACTTTCAAAAAGAACTTTCAAAAAGAACTTTCAAAAAGCACAACTCAAAAAGAACTTTCAAAAAGAACTTTCAAAAAGAACTTTCAAAAAGCACAACTCAAAAAGAACTTTCAAAAAGAACTTTCAAAAAGAACTTTCAAAAAGAACTTTTAAAAAGCACAACTCAAAAAGAACTTTCAAAAAGAACTTTCAAAAAGCACAACTTAAAAAGAACTTTCAAAAAGAACTTTCAAAAAGAACTTTCAAAAAGAACTTTCAAAAAGCACAACTCAAAAAGAACTTTCAAAACGAACTTTCAAAAAGAACTTTCAAAAAGAACTTTCAAAAAGCACAACTCAAAAAGAACTTTCAAAAAGAACTTTCAAAAAGCACAACTCAAAAAGAACTTTCAAAAAGAACTTTCAAAAAGAACTTTCAAAAAGCACAACTCAAAAAGAACTTTCAAAAAGAACTTTCAAAAAGAACTTTCAAAAAGAACTTTCAAAAAGAACTTTTAAAAAGCACAACTCAAAAAGAACTTTCAAAAAGAACTTTCAAAAAGCACAGCTCTAAAAGAACTTTCAAAAAGAACTTTCAAAAAGAACTTTCAAAAAGCACAATTAAAAAAGAACTTTCAAAAAGAACTTTCAAAAAGAACTTTCAAAAAGCACAGCTCTAAAAGAACTTTCAAAAAGAACTTTCAAAAAGAACTTTCAAAAAGCACAACTCAAAAAGAACTTTCAAAAAGAACTTTCAAAAAGAACTTTCAAAAAGCACAACTCAAAAAGAACTTTCAAAAAGAACTTTCAAAAAGAACTTTCAAAAAGCACAACTCAAAAAAAACTTTCAAAAAGAACTTTCAAAAAGAACTTTCAAAAAGCACAACTCAAAAAGAACTTTCAAAAAAAACTTTCAAAAAGAACTTTCAAAAAGCACAACTCAAAAAGAACTTTCAAAAAGAACTTTCAAAAAGAACTTTCAAAAAGCACAACTCAAAAAGAACTTTCAAAAAGAACTTTCAAAAAGAACTTTCAAAAAGAACTTTCAAAAAGAACTTTCAAAAAGAACTTTCAAAAAGAACTTTTAAAAAGAACTTTCAAAAAGAACTTTCAAAAAGCACAACTCAAAAAGAACTTTCAAAAAGAACTTTCAAAAAGAACTTTCAAAAAGAACTTTCAAAAAGAACTTTCAAAAAGAACTTTCAAAAAGAACTTTCAAAAAGAACTTTCAAAAAGCACAACTCAAAAAGAACTTTCAAAAAGAACTTTCAAAAAGAACTTTCAAAAAGCACAACTCAAAAAGAACTTTCAAAAAGAACTTTCAAAAAGAACTTTCAAAAAGAACTTTCAAAAAGAACTTTCAAAAAGAACTTTCAAAAAGAACTTTCAAAAAGAACTTTTAAAAAGAACTTTCAAAAAGAACTTTCAAAAAGCACAACTCAAAAAGAACTTTCAAAAAGAACTTTCAAAAAGAACTTTCAAAAAGAACTTTCAAAAAGAACTTTCAAAAAGAACTTTCAAAAAGAACTTTCAAAAAGAACTTTCAAAAAGCACAACTCAAAAAGAACTTTCAAAAAGAACTTTCAAAAAAAACTTTCAAAAAGCACAACTCAAAAAGAACTTTCAAAAAGAACTTTCAAAAAGAACTTTCAAAAAGAACTTTCAAAAAGCACAACTCAAAAGGAACTTTCAAAAAGAACTTTCAAAAAGAACTTTCAAAAAGAACTTTCAAAAAGCACAACTCAAAAAGAACTTTCAAAAAGAACTTTCAAAAAGAACTTTCAAAAAGCACAACTCAAAAAGAACTTTCAAAAAGAACTTTCAAAAAGAACTTTCAAAAAGAACTTTTAAAAAGCACAACTCAAAAAGAACTTTCAAAAAGAACTTTCAAAAAGCACAACTCAAAAAGAACTTTCAAAAAGAACTTTCAAAAAGAACTTTCAAAAAGAACTTTCAAAAAGCACAACTCAAAAAGAACTTTCAAAACGAACTTTCAAAAAGAACTTTCAAAAAGAACTTTCAAAAAGCACAACTCAAAAAGAACTTTCAAAAAGAACTTTCAAAAAGCACAACTCAAAAAGAACTTTCAAAAAGAACTTTCAAAAAGAACTTTCAAAAAGAACTTTCAAAAAGCACAACTCAAAAAGAACTTTCAAAAAGAACTTTCAAAAAGAACTTTCAAAAAGAACTTTCAAAAAGAACTTTTAAAAAGCACAACTCAAAAAGAACTTTCAAAAAGAACTTTCAAAAAGCACAGCTCTAAAAGAACTTTCAAAAAGAACTTTCAAAAAGAACTTTCAAAAAGCACAATTAAAAAAGAACTTTCAAAAAGAACTTTCAAAAAGAACTTTCAAAAAGAACTTTCAAAAAGAACTTTCAAAAAGAACTTTCAAAAAGCACAACTCAAAAAGAACTTTCAAAAAGAACTTTCAAAAAGAACTTTCAAAAAGCACAACTCAAAAAGAACTTTCA